AATTACCCACCCCTGAGGAAAGATGCGAATGCACTAGAGCCATACTTCTCTCCACCTCTGAACACCTGTTGATATGCAGATGTACCAAAGCCAGGCGAGATATTCTGGAAATGTTTCAATTTTACCCACAAGGTGATGGAGATCAGCCAGCAAGGGTTTCCTGTGGCATCCCTACCCTGGACAAATAGCACATCCCTCTGGATTTCTTCACTGGGTCTTAGCAGAGCAGCAGAGCTTTGGGTCAGAGTGAGGAGAACACCGCAAGCTAGAAGGATAGCAAGTTTAAAGACATCAGCTCTGATTTCCTGTGGGACACACTTAATCCCACCAGCATGCTTTTAGGAAGGTACAAGAAGAGACTGCTACTCCAGCAACTGGCAGCTTCCAATTCAGAAGTCTAGGGATGAACTCACACACTGGTGAGCCCCAGGGGACCATCTGGGACACAAAGCATGCCAACAACTGTAACCTTCTGAAAACAATACCTTCTCCTTTGTTCTCTAACCCAGAGGAGTGGGGAGCCATGAAGATTTCAGATTCATATGCAGACTTCTAGGGATTTGCAGCTCTCCCAGTTTAAGAGACAAGAGACCCACACAGGATTATCTAGAGTAAGGTTCCATGACAGTGGCAGCTATTTATTTAATTCAAATCTCTTTAAAGATTATAACAGACTCCTGAAACTTTCATACTGTAAGATAAATTCTAACCGAAATAAGCAGCAACGAGAGGCAACAAAGGGCCAGGCAGTTTATTTGAGTGCAATCCCAGGCGAGGTTCACCAGTCTGTGTAAATACCGGCTGGAGAAGTCATGCGCAACCAGACAGTTGGGGAGTTTTTAAAGAAGGTAGGGGGAGGCAGGGCTTAGATTTACAGCGGCATGAGGACTGGCTAGCCTACAGCACATTTTGCAGGTTGGGAGGGGGCAGCAGCCGGGGACTTTGGCACATCATCAGTGTCCGACGTGCTCACCCCTCCCTCCGGTGCCTCCAACCTTACATTCCAGCCTTTTGGTTATAATAGGTGCCGACTTGATCAGGCTACTTCTAGCTGAGGAGGGGCAGCGTGGGTAGCATTGAGGCTGGTGGGAGGCCAGAGGTGGCTTGGAGGGAAGGGGCGAGTACTGATGTACCCACATGGTCTTGTGCACTTGTACTGTCCGACCTCTCTATTGGTGGCTGGAGGTTTTAGCAGATATGTTGTCTTCATCTCTCAGGAAAGATATATCTAACATGATCACCCAGGCTTTGCCCTGTCTAGTACTGTAGTCCAGACGATGAGACACGGACTGAGTCTTGTTTGTAGCAGGCAGCTTGGATGAAAGAATGAAAGGATGAGCACTGGGTGGGACAAGGGGGTATCTTTCTTAGGAGTGAGAAGTAAGGTAGGTAGGAGAGGTGTCTGGGGGAACTTGAGATAAGAGAGTATAATGGTTAGGGATGACCAGATGAAGAGGGACTACAGCTTTGTTGATTATCTGCAGGTCTTGAACAAGCTGGTAGGCTCCCGATGGCTTGACTGGAAGGATTGGAATGTTACAGGGAGAATTAGTTGGTACCAGAAGCCTTTGGGAAAGAAGATGGTTAATGATAGGTAGGATGCCCTTGCAATGGGCTTGGGAAATAGGAAATTGGGGTCTAGAAGGAGAGGAGGATGGGTCTTTGAGGTGGATGAGGACTGGAGCATGATGGCTTGACACTACAGGAGTAGAGGCGTTTCAGACTATCAGGTTAACACCGGTTGACGGTACAGGAGGGTCTGTGGAGGACTCAGGGCTACAACTTATATTGGCTAAGATGATGAGTGGGCTCGGTTGGGGATGACTAAGAGGTAGGGAGATAGAGGCACCAAGCTTGGAGAGGAGATCTCTCTTTAACAAAGGGATGGGACAGGACGGGATGACTAGAAATGAGTGTGTAAGAGGATGGCTCTCAAATGTGTAGGCTACTGGACCTGTCTTTAGAGGCTTAGAGGGGGTTCCCGTGACACCCACGACTGAGACCTGGGAAGGATGTAAATGCCCATGAAAGGAAGGTAAAACAGAGTAGGCAGCCTCTGTGACTAGTAAAAAGGAGATGGACTTACCCGCCACCCACAACGTGGCCCTGGGCTTGGCAAGGGTGATAGGGGTGTTTGAGTTTAGGCATCTTCAGTCTTTAAGTAGGCTCAGCAGGTCCAGAGGGGAGTCCCTCAGGGGGGGCCTGCCTCCCACAAGATTGTCGCCAGGGATGACCTTCCCTAACTGGACACTCTATTTTCCAATGACCTCTCTTACCACAAACTGGGCAGGGTTTAGTCAGCTTGTTGGTCAGGTTGGGGCATCTCTTTGCCCAGTAGTCTTCTTGGCCACACCAGAAGCAGGGTCCCAGAGGCTCACAAGCTCTGGACTGGTCTTTGGTGTGATGAGACCCCTGTCCTGCCGGCTACAGGGCCACCATGAAGGCTCGGGTTTGGGACACTGTCCTCCTCTCATGTTCTTCATCACGGGTATTAAAGACTTTAAAGGCCATGGTTACCAGGTCACGGAGTGGAGTCTCTCTCTTTTGCCTTTTTAATTTACGTCTTAGGTAACTAATACTTGTTCTGGTGAAATCTAGTTCTTTACTAGTTTAGAAGTGATAAAACAGTGACTATAAATGACAATAGACTTACAAATAACAATGGTTAAAGATCTGATGAGAGCTAACTGTAAGACAGTTGACATAAGGAAATCTGGATATTTTTCTAACATAAAACATTCTGTAACAAAGTTTAGCATTATTCTCTTTGACAGTGCTTTCTAGGTAATTAAGCAGGTAACTTTATATCAGATAAGTGAAATTGGCTAAATACTTTCTCTAATGAGAAAAAAAAGCCAAATTGGCCAAATACTCTCTCTAATGAGAAAAAAGTTCTTATGACATGTTCCAGGGGCCCTCTGGAAAATATCAGAGTTAACTAGAGATAAAAGTACTTTTTTGAATTTGATTTTGGGAAGTTGTCAGAAGAAAGTTTCTTTGGCACTTGCTTAAATAGAATCATAAGTCACTATGAAACAATACTTATCTATTTAACTAGAATGACAATAAAAGATTTTAAAGGCAAATACAGAAGGTTACAGTTGTTAGCAAAGTTTAGCTTTTAGTCCTTTTAATATTAAGATCTCATTTTCTTAAATATTCAGACTGCACTGAGACTTTAAGCATGAGAAATTGTTTTGATAAAACAATTAGAGAATTCTTTGCAATCTTGCAACATTGAGAGCAGACTAACAGTTAAGAAAACTTTGTCTTTTTAACTGAAAACAAAATTCTAATTTTGCTGTGTACTTGAACTGAGATTCATTTGCTTTAATTTTATATAGCATGACCATATCAATTTTTCCACAAAGTTTCTAAAACTTCTGTTTACATTGTGTTCTCTCTCTTTAAATAAATAGCTGTGCTTTTGAACAATTACTTTCTTTTACCCTCAACAAAATTAATTTCTATTCTTTATACTTTCTCTTATTAAAACACACATCTTTTTAGCAAGTAGAGATGTTTCCTTCTTTAAATAGCTTTAATTAGACCTTAAAACTACTAGGAACTTTAATTTTCAGTGAACACTGAGAAGTGGGCTATTGTAAACTATTGCACTAGCATTCTTTAGATTAACAAATTAATGAACACACTTTATAATTCCTGACACCATGTGCTTTACCACGTAATCTCTAAGCACAAAATATGTCTACCTAACTTAGCAAAACTTAAAAATTTTAGGTCACCACAAAAATTTTCAGGCTGCAGGCAGGCACATACACTGCAATACACAAACACAAAGATGTTCACTTGCTATGCCCAGCTCACCCACTCCCAACAACCATGCCAGACCACTTACAAAATGGTGGGTGTGGGGAGGGGTGTAGGGTTGGGAGAAAAAGGAGGCAGTCTGTGCTGGGAGGAGTCTTGTCTGTGGTTTCTGGAACTGGAGGGTGGGAGGAGCATGTTCCGGTGGGGGAAGAGGGCGGTGAAGGCAGAAGAAGAGGGGGAGGGGGGTGGTGCAGCCACCAGAAGAGGAGAGGAGCAGGAAGATGGCATAGTTGAGAATGTAGGACTTTAAGATGGCAGCAACATGAGGGAGGACAAAGAACTTAAAGATGGTGGCAGAGAGGGGTGGGGGTAGTGAGCTGAGAGAGGTGGGAGATGAAGGTTTTCTGGCAGATCTGAAAAGGAAGAAGGACTGGGCAGAGTAAGAGGCTGACAATCTTTAACTGGAGATCGGGCCAGGGTTGTTGAACACTTAACGTAAAGGTCTGGGCGGGAGCGCAATGTCCAAAAAGCCTGCACATATGGGATTTCACCTTACTTTCCACTCAGATGGCAATAATTAGTCAAGTCGGTGAGGAGGCCAAAATCGAAAGTTCCCTCAGGGGGCCAGTGAGATTGATTGTCCAAGGGATACTGAGGCCCAGTCTCAGAGCAAAGAAAAACTAGCTTCCATTTGCGAACTTCCTGGGACAAATATAGAGTAGCCAAATTAGAAATGAGACACCACAGTGGGGTCTGAGCCTCTGCTTTCGAGGGCTGGTTCCCCATGTCTGCGCCACTTCCCAACTAATCCCACTGAGAGGAGTGCCCAGTGTCCCAAGTGCACCAAGTCATGGGAGACGTCCTGGGAGCCTGGGTGAGGGACATCTCCCACACCGCAGGGCCAGGGGTGGGCCGGATGCCCGCAGCGGATGGGCTGGATGCCCAAGGGGCTGGATGCTCCAACCTGGACGTAGCTACAATTTCAAACTGACCAAGTGAAAACAGGTTAGGAAGGGAAACAGACTGGGGGAAACTGAGGGACTCACTGGAAAATAGTCCACACAGCGGAGAGCAGGCTGAGGTCCTGGGTCAGGGAAGTACGGGGCAGGGTCACCAATGGCAGGTTGGGGCCCCGCGCTCACGCTCCTTCCCGGGTTTTGGCACCAAATGTAAGATAAATTCTAACTGAAATAAGCAGCAACGAGAGGCAACAAAGGGCCAGGCAGTTTATTTGAGCGCAATCCTGGGTGAGGTTCACCAGTCTGTAAATATTGGCTGGAGAAGTCATGCGCGACCAGACAGGCAGGGAGTTTTTAAAGAAGCTAGGGGGAGGCAGGGCTTAGATTTACAGCAGCGCAAGGATTGGCTAGCCTAAGGCACATTTTTCAGGTTGGGAGGGGGCAACAGCCGGGGACTTTGGCACATCATCAGTGTCCAACGTGTTCACCCCTCCCTCCAGTGCCTCCAACCTTACACATACTTTTAAGTTCTAAAGTTCTAAATCAAGATTTTGTAATTTTCATTTAAACATAGGATGATGTTGATTTTAAAATAATTATCCCTGAGGTTGTATTAAAATAATGCAGTTATAAGTAAAGACCATTACTTCTAATACCTCAATTGAAATGAAATGCAGACTTCTAGATTTTAATGCGTCATAAGCCACCAATTTCATAAAATTGCATCCACTTTCCAAAGCTTCTATCACCTCATGGAAGCAACCCTTTGGAAAGGAATGAGGTATTTTATTCTTTAATGTCTCCATTTAGCCAATTATAGGCAGGTTTTCATAGATAATTCCCTTAAAAATATTAAAAAAGCACTTTCTACTATGGTTCTAGTATGAATGGAAAACATTAAAGGCATTAATTTCATTGAATACAGGATAACTTCAGATTAGAAGATGACAATCAAAAAAAAGAAAACTATCATCATGTTAAGTGCAGCCTCAATCGCATTGAAACAGTTAAAGTTTTGACAAAAGAAATAACTTTTGTCTTTAGGAAAAGCTACATATAAAATGAAGGTAATTATTGTAGTGATAGGAGACAGTTTTACTTCAAATGAGACACACATACACTTATCAAGTTATATATATATTGAGATATTCATGCCAGAGTGGCTATTAAGGCCTCAATATTTATATACAGTAAGAGTGGACAAACCTCTAAATTTCACCAGTTTTCATAACTTTCAAGAGCTTAAACTTAAATCTAGAAAAGGTAGGAATTAAGGAAAAGTCAAAATGCTGATTTAAATAGGAAACGTCATTATGTAAGAGAGAAAAAATGGAAACAGGGATAAAATCCTAAGTTCTTTTATTTCCTAAAAATGTTGTTTCTATCCTTTCTAAACACTAGTTTGATATCTATATCTCATAATGTGATCACCAATCTCCAAAATGACCCCTGAGTAATCCCTGTCTCCCCTGGTTCATGCTCTTGTATGGTCTCCTCCCACAATGAATAGTATAATCCTGTATAATCAATAAGACATAACAGATATGATGGAATATGACATTGAAAGTCTGGGTCATAACAACATTGTGACTTCTGTCTTCCTTTCTCTTGGATCACTTACTCTCAGCAAAGCCAGATGCCACGTTATTGTGGCACTCAAACAATAATCAGAGAGGCCCATGTGGCAAGGAACTGAGGCCTACTCCCAAAAGTCATATGAATGCATCTTCAAAGTGAATCCTCAATCCACAATGAAGCTCTCAGATGACTATTGTCCCAGCTGACAGCTTGACTGAACCTTATGAGAAGCCCTGAGCCAAAACTATACAGTTATGATTTCCTCAAGTTCTCTGGCCATAGTAACTATGAGATAAGAAGTGTTTGTTGTTTTAAGCCACTGAGTTTTGGAGTGATTTATTATGCATAATAGAAAACAAATAGAGAGGATTTCAGAATAGTTTAGGTCCATAAATATCATAGAAATCTCTTGTTAAAATCAATGGATGGATTGTTAACTTGATGGATGATGTTCTTTCTGTCCAAGAATCTCTGATGGTTGTCACATAGGGCTGTGGCTTGTGAAAGTCCTTTCAATAATAATCAAGAAAAAAAATTAAGATTATTTCATAACCTTCACAAAACATTCAAATTATTTTATTATTACAGATAACATGTTAGTGGGAGGTTTTCCATACAGCCAGGCTAGGCATTCCTGGCTCTAGAAAGATAAAATTGAAGAGGTTCATCTTCTGTTTATGCAAGAAATACCATTTTCTCAAAATTGTCTAGAAAAGACTTTGGTTACTTGGTTGTGGTGGCAGCAGCATTGTCATTAAAGATCTATTATTTTGGACTACCAACAATGTTTCATTTTCTCTGATTATCATGAATTAAATCAGAAGAGACTTACTAAAATTGTTAAATTCAAGCATAGACTATCCAACCCCTAATATAAGCATGGCTTTATGGCAAATAAAAAAGATTTAAATAAAAACACAATCTCAATGACTAGGTGGCATACAGGGGAGTTTTAGGGAAATGAAACTATTCTGTGTGATACTGTAATGGTTGATACTTGTTATTTCACATTTTTGAAAACCCATCAAATGTACAACACCAAGAGTGACCCTAATGTAAACTGTGGACTTTGGGTGATGATGACATGTCAGTGTTGGTTCACTGACTGTAACAAATGTGCCACTCTGGTGAGGGATGTTGATGGTGCAGGAGACTGTGGGAAGGAAGGGGGGAGGTATATGGCAACTCAATGTTCTTTATATTCAATTTTGCTATTGAACTTATTACAACTGCTCTAAAAAATGAAGTCTATTTATTAATAAGAGGAGAAAAACAGTTTCTGCCATCCAAGAACTTTAATTATTTGTTCAGCAACAGTCACTCAAGCTTTCTTTTTCTATCCATTTATGGTCCACTGTTCTATGTCTTTATGCTTTATATGCATCTCTTATAAACAGCACAAGGTTGAATTTTGAATTTTATCCAGTCTAAGAAGCTCTTTCTTTAATGAGGAATGCTGAACAATTTATATTTATTGTTACTACAGATATATGTGGATTTCTTTCATTATTTTGAGTGTTCTACCTACCTAGATTTTTCTATCCTTCTTTTTTCCTCTTTTTCTATTTCCCATTTATTTGGAAGATACACATCTTATTTCTATTATTTTAGTAGAAAGACTTAATATACTACCTTGACTTTAATACTTTGAGTGTAATCACATATTTAAACTCCTCTTGACAATTCAAACCATTTAAAACCCTTTATCTCCATACAGACACATCTACAATGTTCCATGATAGGTCATATAATATATAATTCCACTTTACTTTGAACCCTATGCTCCCCTTCAATAGTCATTATTGCTCTTATTACTGTGGATTTTTTAAAAAAACAATCATTGTGATTTAAAATTACCAACATGTATGGCAATTTCTTTACTCAACATAACTTCTTAGATACTGATTCTTCTTTCTGGGTTTGATTTCCTTCTTATAGAAGCAATATTCTAACATTCCTTTATATTAAGGGTTTGTGAATGGTCAACTCTCTCAGACTTAATTGGGAAAAATATTTCACCTTTAGTCTGAATAGATAGTAATATGACTTTTAAAAAAATGTTGCTGTTAGTCATTTGATTGTTTTTCCCAAGTATATTCCCCCTCATTCTTTTAGTTTTCTTCTTTCAAAACTCGTATTAGCATATATTGAGCATTCTTATTCTACCCTTCATATCTGTTTAACCTCTGCTTCACAATTTTTCTTCTTTTCATCAGTGTGAGCTGAATCCCTGGTAAATACTTAAACCTATACTCCAATTCCCTAACTATTTCTTTAGTGATGTCTTATCAGTGGCTCAGCTACAAATAGCATTTATACAGTCAAATTACTGAGCTACCTAAAATCATAATGAAACAATTCTGGGAAAATGGGTGTATAGGAAATGTTCATGTGTGTGGTGGGGGTGAAAAGATCTGTAAGAGCTAAGTCCTGATCTAGGATAAAGGAAAATAAGTAAATAATTCCTACAAATTAAAAAAATAATCATAAAGTAGCACTATAAGTATATTACTTAAAGCTATAGAGATAAATTCCAAAAAACCTGAAAATTAGTAAGTTGCAAATGTTGCCTCTAAAGAAGAAAAAGGGGAGATGTGGGGGTTGGGGAGAGGGAACTGATATAGAATCAAAGTAAGTCTTGGGAAGTACCTGATGCTTTAAATTACACACAGGAATAACCAATAAAAAGGAAAAACTAAGTTTGTTTTAAAAGGTGGCTGAGTGGATTGAAAAATGTTGAGAGGAGTTGTGCAGATTTAAAAATCAAATATGAGGAATGAATAAGCGAACACAGCAGGGGATGTATAGGAAATCTCTGCCTTCTACTCAGTTTTTCTGTGAAGCTAAAACTCCTCTAAAAAATAAAGTCTATTTTTTAAAAAATCAAGTAAGAATTAGCACATTACTGCAAATGTGATCTGAAAGTATAATAGCAAGGTAAAATGACAACCTCTCGGTACTTGCACTCAATTCTAAATTTTTGCTATGAATCTTTTACCATTAATTTGCTGTGTTGAAGTTTGTAAAAATAAACCTCTAACCGACATTTGTTTCTATATCTCATGATGTAATTTATGAAGTTTGCAAAATATAGAAGTACCAGTGGGAAAACTCGTGTTAATAAAATGGCTTGATCTTTTTCTTTTTTAACTGCTGTATTTGGAAACTGATTATTTTTTTAATGATTTTTTGCTCTTTAGAAAATAACATTTTTCAAATTACAGCAGTAAATAATTAATTTTACTGGCGACTCAACAAATTTGGAGATACCTGTCCCCCATTAAACTATTCTGTCTACCTGCCTGGTTAAGAAGACAATGTTTTACCAAAGTGGCAGAAGCGGCTAATGGGGAAACAAAAAGGTGGTGAACTCTGATTAAGCACGCGTTACAGTTTTTCTAATGACTAGACAGAGGTTTGCCAATGGAAAGCTGGTTCAGCTATAAGATAAATAAATTCTGGAGATCCTATATATATACAGCATGGCGATTATAGTTAACAATACTTTATTATATACTTGAAAGTAGCTGAGCGCAGATCTTAAATGTTCTCATACACGCACAAAAATGGTAACTGTGAGGTGATGGAGGTGTCAGCTAACCTCATTTCACAACAGATACATATATCAAATCATCACACTGTACACCTTAAAGTAATACAAGGTTTTTTTGTCAGTTTTATAGCAATAAAGCTAGAAAAAATAAAATGCAAGTTTGACCCCCAAAAGAAAGTTGTATATCCTGGAAGGAAAAAAAAGAAGTGAAAGGATTCAAACCAGTGCTGTTCAAAAGGAATATAACATGAACCAGAGGTGTATTTTTAATTTTTGCAGTAGCCACATTAAAAAGTAAGAAGCAGGTGAAATTCATTTTAACAAGATATTTGAATCAATGCAATATATCCTAAATAGTATCCTTTCAACATGTAATCAACATAAAAATATTGAGAGATTTTACATTCCTTTCTAATTCTTCAAAATCTGGTGTATAATTTACACCTATGGCACATTTCAATTTGCAGTAGCCACATTTCAAGTGCTCAAAAGCCATACATTTCTAGTATCTACTATATTTGATAGAAATATAGATATCAAATAGGTACCTCTAAGTACTTATATTACAAACTATCACTTTTTAGGTCCAGACAAGACCTCAAAATTTCAGAAAGAGAATTTACTGTGAAAAATGTCAGAAAATCAGGAAAGACTGATCAGAAGTGCCTACATTATCATCTCAGACAAGAGGGATTCCCTTTTTATGTCCCAAACTCCCCTTGATCAGATTGACGAAGAGCAGAGATCAGCAAACGTTTTTAGGAAGGGCCAGATAGCATATATTTTAGCCTTGCTGGCCATGCAGTCTCTATCGCAACTACTCACCTCTTCTGTTGCAGTAGGAAAGCAGCCATAGAAGATTAAACAAAAGGGCATGGTTATACTCTAATAAAACTTTATTTATGAGCATTGAAATTTGAATTTCATATAATTTTCACATGTCATGAAAACTTTTTGCAAACATGTAAAAATGTAAAAACCATCCTTAGCTTATGAACCCTACCAAAAGATTTGGCCCATTGGCTATCATTTGGCAACCTCTGACCTAGATGATGGGGATTAAGAAAGGCAGTGCTAAGAGGTTGTTTTAATTACAGACATTTGTTGAAGACAAAAAACAAGAATTTTGGAAGCTAGAGAAAGAGAATGTGAAAAGAACAAGGGACTTAGTATTCACCCAGCCATGTCTACCTCGACTCTAGTTCAGACATAACTTTTTGTGCTCTGGTCATATCATTGATCTTCTCTGGTCTGCAATCTCTTCCTGCCAATGAAATGATTACCATGGCAAACCCAATGAGTCCAACAGTAGCCCATATGCTCATACTGCATTCAATCAAAAGTGGTAATATTTTTAACAGAGCCTGGGAAAATACACCATTTAAAATACAAGAGGAAAGTCTTTGTTGAGAAATAAATAGGATTGCAGAGACTTATAAATAGTTTTAACCATGCTATACTAATCTGGAAATAATACTTACTACAAGTAAGTGAATTATCATTGTTACCTATGCATATGCATTAAAATAAAGGACATTGTATGTGACAACCCTGGAGCCAAATTCTAATTATTATTTACATTTTAAAGAAATAATAGATGCATACCCTAAAATATTCAAATTTTCAGGCTCTCTATTATAATAAGCCCAAATATGTATAGTTGTGCAGTATTTCACATTATTTCTTATTTTGCCTTATTTTACAAATCTTCCATTAAATCTCAAGAAAGCAAATTCAGCCAAAGCCTTAACTTAATGTAAAATAACTGCCTGGACATAAAATCAGAATTATGAATTAGATTTCAGAATTAAAGGGTAAATGGAAAGACAATTTGTTGATCCTATTTCCCAATTAAACATTAAGATGATTTTTCTATAATGACCTACCCCAAGAATTTCAAGGGGAAAAAAAAAGCAACAAAGTTAGGTGAAAGTTGCAAGTTGAAGAATAGTACAG